CCTGTGCCACGTGCTCTAGGTGACCCTGCGTGTGCAGGGGGGTTGGACTAGATGATCTCTAGAGGTCCCTTCCAACCTTAAGGATTCTATGATTCTATGAAATTACCTGTCCATTTGCAATTGTATTTTATTAGCTGTTCAAGATGATATTGAAAAACGCCAGGCCCTTGGCTAGAGCATTATAAGCAGAGCTTTATCTATAATGAATAACCCTGTGACATGAATGTGTGACACTGGTACGCCCTCTCTGTCACTAGGCAATGCACATAAACTCTCTGCGCAGAAGGATATATAAATGATTAGCAGAAAATGGTTTTGAAAAGAAATCAGAGAGATCCTCTTATCCCACTGTAGTTCGATCTCTACCTGGGGCTTCACTGCTGCCCATGTATTTTTTCTTATAAAATACCCAATGCTAATCACTGTGAACACGTAATGTGCAAAATGGATCAAAATGCTTCTCTGACAGTTGACAGATCTTTTCTCATTAGCATCAACAGAACAGGATTATGTTCTTAATCAAAGAGACTTTGTAGGCCTCTTTCCAAACGTGTCTGAGTAGGCATGAGGCTTCCATGGCAGTGTTGTTTCTAGTTAATGACTGTCTAACACTTTCCACCAAAAAACATAGTTTCAAGCTGCCAAATTCCAGCTGTTCAGGTTTCAATATTCACAGAATCACAGGATGATGGAGGTTGAAGAAGATCAGTTGTGAACACTTTAAACTGCTGCTGTGAAATAGCTGAGAAGTTAGCTCTTCTGAAGTGCTGTGGGCAAAAGAGTCTTAACGGAAACAAAGGGACAAGAAGTATCATTCATTCTTAAAGTGGGGAAATGCCCTTATGTGAATAATAGCACATGCTTACATAATGAAAGGCTTCACTGTAGTAATTACACAATAGTGTCATCCTCAAGGCAATGTTTTTTAAGAGTATATAGGTAACTGCTGCTTAGATGACATGGCAATGCAAATGTTTTTAACATAATACATTTTTAAACTTTTTTCCTCCTAGTAAGCCAGATTATTCCGATCTCACTGACATACTATTATTTTTTTTTCTGTTATTGCAAGATCTGAGGGTAACACTGCTAGTCTCACACAGAGAGATTTAGTGGGGCCATACAACTAAGCTATGCAACGTGTCTGCTGAGAAGCCTCACTCACCCAGCTCCAGCCACCCTAGACAGCTAGAGGCTTCTCCTCCAGCACTGCTCAGCTCAGCAGTGCAAGCCTGAGCTCACACTGCCACATGGAGGAGGAAGTAGAACTGGAGGCAGACACCTCTGTGTGCCCTCTGTCTTAGGGGCCCTCACATGAACACAGACTGTGGTAGGTCCCCCTCTGGGGAAGGAAACAGTAGGAATGCTTTGACTACTGTCTCTGTTCTTCTTCAAAGGCAAGAAACATTATCACACCTTCCTGCTGTGATCTGTTCAAGTAAAATGAAAAAGTCTTCTCTGTGTTTTCTGGGGAGCACCATGCCCTCGCAATACTACGTAAAATACGAACATGCCCATTTTACCAGGATACCTCGTGTAGCTCAGTCTCCTCTCCACTGCATTTACAAAGATTTTTAACTGACACTTTGTAGTCACAAGACTACAAAGTGAAAAATGCAATGAAATCAGGGAAATCATGAGTCTCCTGAAAGAAAAAAATGGTAACGGCAAAACAGGACCAGTGTCCACTTCCCCAAACACGTAAGACTGCTCCATCTGCTGGTGTTCTGGACACCCAAAACCAAAACACTCCTACACGCATTTGTCAGCACTCCTAAGAGCTTAATTCTGCTTTTGCTGATGCCAGTTAGATCTTTAATATGATTGTCAATCACAGCAGAGGTAGGTCAGTATCAAGGACTTTTGAAAATGCTGCCTACGGTAGAAACACAGAAACAACATAAAAAGGGTGGAATTTAAGACCCCTCCTTCACTGTCACCTTGAGAGCCACGCAAGCTATAATGGACCTGGAGGCCTGAGTCTGCATAAAGCCAGCTTTTTCAGAGGGCAGCTTAACCTACTGTGATTAACTGCAGCGCAACCAGAATCGTCACAGCTTTAAGCCTGCAAATGGCATTGCCACTTGCCAGTTTTCACACAGCTTTTATATTAGTAGAATTCACGGTGCTCCATGGATGTCATTACTTGCGAAAGCAGTTATAGATCTATATTATCTTCCTAACAGGCCCCCACTTAAACTATAAAGGCATCTAACGGCCTATTTTATTTTTTCTCCCATGAATGAATTTCCTTGTGCAAAGAATTTCACTGTTCATCTTTGTGAAGCTTCAGAAATGAAAGGGCAACCTACCACTCTCCACGCATTCTGGTAACATTTCTGTCACTCAGTGATGACATTTGATTGACAGTGGCTGAGACATATTCTGCTCTAGACTAAAACTACAGGAGACACCATACACGTATTATAAACTGCTTCTGATCAGAATAATTACTTTTTTTCTCAAAAAAGAGTGTCTATACAGTAAAGCAATAGCCGTTTTAATTGCTACTGTTGCTTTTGTATATAATATGCTATATACCGACGTTCTGACTCAGAAGCAGCAAAGTCTGCAGGACTGAGAAGAGTACAAGGGCAAAGATTACTTTGATTTGCATGATGTTTCCACTTTGCCTGTCTAACAGGAAGCTGACAGATGTTTAAAAGAAAAGTTGCAAAAATAGATTTTCCCAAGTCTAATGCCCATTATCCATGACTTCTAATATAAGAAATATAGTATTTAGTTTTCTCATGAAGTTGAAAGGTTTTAAATAATCACGTCACTGTTTCAAATTTCTTGTTTTGTATAATTCTACATTCATCATTCATACTAATACTCAAACACTTTGTATTCAAAAGAATACCCACAGTTATGAGTATCTGAGAAAGCAGGAGTGGCGGGGAGGGAAAGGGGAAGAAAGTGAAGTACGATTCTGCATGAAAGGGGTAAATACTTGCCTTTTAGAGCAATTGTAAAAAAAAGGGTCAAAACTACAAGTGCCTCAGCAAAGTTCCATGATTATTCAGTCATTTTAACATGACTTGGAAAATATTTCAAGGAAAAATCATCTTGTAAAGTAAATTAGAATGAAAAAAAAAAGTGGCAGGACATAAAATTAGTGCTATAATAGAAGATGACTCCTTTCTCAGACATCATTTTTCAGGTGGAATATGTGTAGAGATTTAGTTAAATAAAGCAGGTGGATGAAATTTCAGAAGCAGCTGGCTTTACTGCAAGACAGCAATCTGGAACAATGGACTGCCTGTCAATTCTTGTTATTCAGTTGGTTTTAGAAAGGGTCCAGTGCCACCTATTATGAAGGCACTTTATGCTGATCTCTAACACCACATTTAAACAAATTGAAGACAGACAAATTCACTGCAAAGCTCCATTTATTCATATTAATGCATATAATCTAACCCTAACAGAATAATGGTTGGAGGCCCTAGGAGTTTCCTTTTTTTATTTTGTGTCTACTTTGCTTTCCAAAGAACTAGTGAAGTTCTGAGTTGCTGTACAATCCATACCAACTGCTCAAATATCCCATGCAATCTCACTCATTATCATCCACCAACATGGAACACGATGGTCACAGTTAGGGGGAAAAGATAATAGTGCCTCTTACTTGCAACCAGAAAAAAAATAGTATTGACATTCATATAGCAGCACAATACCAGGGTATAAATTCAGTATCTATCGATCGTGTCGATGCATTGCTCCGAGACAAACCGAGAGAGCAGCAACACAGCATTCAGATGAATGTACTAGCATGACAGTTGTAAGAGAGTGGCCATTAAATCTTCTGTTGCTCAGCCCCATCAATGCCTTCCAGTATTTTCCAGGGGATGTTTTCAAAAGCAATACAAATGACTGAGCTTTGTTTTTTTCTTAGAATACTGAAAATGGTTAAACTTGGATTATTACTTTCATGCACTTACACAGGATAAAGGAAAATAAATCTCTTTATGGAAGTTTAATTTTATATCCCATTACAGAGATGGTACCATTGCAAACTTGAATTAATTTTCTTAGTGATTTGGTAGCTTGAAATCTTCTTTCACGGGTAGTTAGAAAAGATCTTTTGTTGCATCTGCTTACACTTAATTGTTCCCATGCATGAAGTACAAATGCTCCAAAAAGCCGTTTCATATTCAAAAATTATCATACCCCGAACATGAAAAAGGACATTATAACTGATGGAAAAAAAATACAAAAACAACCGATACGCACCTCATTCATGCTGGTATTAATGATAATTACTATGGTATTCTGTTACATATTTTATGAGGTATATATTTTAAACAAAAAGCACATTAGTGACAGTAGTTTGTAAGCATTAAAGAATATTTCCTACTGGATGAATCCCCAACATCATAGTAAAACGTTTGGTTTTTTCAGCATAGTCGCCATGAATATTATTTTCTTACCTGAAGACCAACATTGTCAGCTTGTCCTCCTTTAATTAATTGGGAGATAAAAAGGCCACAGCTAAATTCCACACCACCTCTCACACTTATTCCAAGTCCTTCAGGGTGCAACCGATCCAATCTTACCTCTTTCAGCTTTCTGCAAAATTAGAAAACATCTGGCTATTCAGCTGTACAATATTTTGTGGCAGTAATGCTTTATAAAAAAACTATGGATTACTTGTGTCTTATCACATTTACTCTGGAAAAAAGATCAAGCTGACTGAAATTTTGATGGATGATAAAACGCTGAAGCTTTTGTTTGTACGTTTGAAGCAAGGAAAGATGTCTGTTCCTGTTGAAGCTGTGTATGTCTCTAGAGTGCTAGAGCTATAAGAGAAATTCTTAAAAGGAGGCAAAATGAAAAAAAAAATGCTTCAATTGGGCAGCATTTATTTTGGATTTCCATACCCTTCTTCCACTAAATTAAACGGCAAAAAAATCAGGTAGTTCAAATCTGTACTTTTAGCAGTTACAACAAAAGCCAAAAAAAAGTGCCCCAATCTATAAAGGTGGCAGAGTTTATCTGAATAACAATCATTTCTTCAACATTTATCTGCGGTTAGCTACGTCGTTACGCGTTCCCTTACCGTGATCTTTTGGGTGTAAGCTGATCGTACTCCAGCTGGTGTTTCAGCGGGATGAGCGGGCGGATAGCGTCGAACAGAGGCAACCTGCTTGGTTCATTAATCACCAGCTTCAGGTCCCCCACAAGCACCGGCAGATTCATAGATCTACAAAATTACAGTGAGAAAAAGGGCTCAGCTAACTAACACACCAACACAAATTATCAAATAATAACTTGTGCTAAATACAACTTAAATTTCTGTGTATCCCTTCAGCTATTAAGGAAGTTATTTATGTATCTCTCGGTTAAACGAAAGCAGAATAGCCTTTGCAAAACTAAAACTTTCGTAAGCAAAAAAGTAACCATACCCTTAAAAATGACTGAAGTCTCCTATGCTTTACCTTTTAAAGGTCATATACATCACATCTTTACAGAGGACACTGTTAGTTTCATTCTCAGGGTCCCCCAAAAGAAGATTTATGAAATGGTTCAGAAATAACCCTACAGACCACTTTTACCTGCCTACTGTATTTCTATTTCCTTGCTAGTTCTCCATTCCTCCAGACGGATCTAGGCTACAAATTCCTTCCGAATTCAAGGGACAAATTAATTGTTTCCACATAGTAAAAAAAAAAATCACATAATACTCAGTAAAGATCTGTTTTGAAATTTGTTTCCAATCAAAACAAACCAGAATTGAAGGGTCATTAACCTAGTCAACCATCAACAAAACCTACAAGACTAAAACCATTGTGTTTTTCATGCAAGCTATGCTCATGAGTTTGATACTGTCAGCACTGAAATAGTCAGTGCTCTAGAAAATGGTCTTTGTTGCCTGGCTGCAAGTGTGGAACAGCTCTACAAACGTGAAACTATTCTCATACAGCATCTGGTTAAGCTTAGTCTATGGTATCTACTGTTCTCTCTTAATGTTTAGTTTTCCTGGTCTAAAACTCCTTGAAAAAGATGTACTGAAAATACACATCAGGAATGGCTATTACATGAAACTAGAGATCAAATACTTTGATTTGCAAATGCTATTCACAATTAAGTGAACACTAAATATTAACTACAATAGTAGTTGTATATATTTTTGTCCTTGAAATGCTTTCTAATTAAAAAAAAAAAAAAAAAAAAAGTCAATAAATTCCCACAGCAAAATTCAAAGTTTTGCTCACAAGTTATTGCAGGTCTGGCAATTGAGGAGAAGTTACTATATGTTACTACATTGTTAATTTGGTAACTGCAAAAAGATTTTAAATTATTAAGAGCTACCAATTCAACCTGCTTTCCAAACAACGGGCATTATCAATGGAGAAGCAATTAGACGGACTTGACTGAAATGGCATCAGATATGCAGCTGAACACACCCAAAAATGAGAGCTCAGTACAAACACTGCATGGAAACATCTACATTTCACTCAGTGGAGATGCTATTAATTAAGATATGAATGGAAACAAGGTCTATCATAGCCAGTTGTCTGTGATGAGTGGAAAACACATTCTCACATTCTTCAAGAAACAATAGATCAAACGATGATCTCATTTGCCGTGATATAGGTCCTAAGCAACCATGGTTTAAATCAATTCAGTGAAAGGACTTGCAAGTGGCATATCAGCTTACATTTTTTTTCTTTTCATTATATCTTAATAAACCGAAATTGTTAAACATGCTAGACAGATTTCCAACCTAGTCCTTTTCATCTTCCAGATAAAACAGTTGAAATCAAGAATTAATCTGAATAGTTTATAAAAATCTTTAAAACACAAACTCAGCAGAAATTTCTGATCAAAATAAAAGTGTTTTTCAAAATATTCATGAATTTGATCAATATTCTCTTCCTCTTTCCTAAATGCGACTTTAGCACCTACATTCTTTTTTTCCCAATAAAGGTCTGCAACACTGATAAGTCATAAAAACAAAGTTTTAATATTAGCTGTAGTAATGCTCCTTTTCTGCTAGCAGGCTATACTGTAAAAATATAAGATTTTGTTAAACAGAATTATAAATCATTAATTATCTATATAGTATTCAGGAAGACTGCATATATAAAATCTTGAATGCTCATTCTTTAAATTTAAAAGCATTGGTGAAATTGAACTCAAACATAAATAAAGCTGTATCTTACTGGTGGTACATTCGCAGCACATCATAAAGGTAATCCTTCTCGGCTTCATTGTCAATCAGAAGATTAACCTGAAAATCCAGAGTCTTTATTTTAATTTGAGCATTTTGAACATAAAAGACGTTGACAAAATTCCTAAGCCACAGACCAAAGATTTCAACAGGGAAAGAATTGAAAAACAAAACAAAGCACAACTTTTGCAAGATAAAACAAGAAGCTTATAACAAGACTTCCTAAAATTAATGCTGCAGCAGTTGAAGAGGGCAATAAATACTGAAATTACACACTCTGCATGCTAGATGTCCTCTTGGTAGAGCAATATCATTACAATTACATCACATTTGCCTTACCTGATAATCACTGTACTGTTGAAAAAATGTTTTAAGAAACCTTTTCGGCCATTCGTTAACATAGCACATGCTGTCAGAGATTATAATTATAGCAGTGCTATGCTCTTATCTCTGTCCTGTTGCTCCAAACCACTGATGCCAGCACCTCACTTAAACATTATGCAAACTTCTAACACTACTATTCCTCTTGGCTGCAGCTCCGAAGTGATAGAACTTGCTAGTTATTCTTTCCCTCCTGAGTAATAGTACATTTACTTGAACCAGTGTCATGTTACAGTGCCTGCGCTTGGACAATTACAGTAAAATAGATTTAAAAAAAAAATACAGAAATCTGATATTAGAAGCTCAATTTCTATTCGGTGACACCAGTGAGATCCCCACTGATCTTACTTGTATTAGGAGTTCATACCACGACAATTTTACTTTTAGACAAGACTGGTGTTTAGGAAAACAATTTGCATCTGACCCAAGGGGTAATATTACTGTGACATGCAGCCTGAAGACCAATTTGCATACTTAAAGGAAGTCCTCTCTTTCTAGATTTGCACCAGTTTGTATTATATTGCAAGCTAAATAAATGTTTCATACTCTCTTCAACCCTTTCTGCTCTCTAAAGTCAGCCAGGCTCGGTGTATCCGAGTGATTTTCTATTATCTATATCCTGTTTAAGAGATCACTTTCAAAACAATTAAAAGCTATAAAATCACACACAGGACATGACTGCTTAAATCCTACTCGAGATTGCTTTACCAGTAAACTAATTTGTTCAGAGTGAATTTTATAACACAAAATCGAAAGTTTGCCTGAAAAGGAAATAATATATCTGCATTCATAACTGACTGGTTCACCAATGTCATACATAGATAAAATTTAAGGTTATAAACACAAAACCAAATCCAATACTTATTTCTTCTTTCTCATTCTTCTCTTGCTGCCTCCTAATTCACCAGTAGCCACCTGCCATGTCTTATTTTTCTAAACAATGAGCTCCTTGAAAAAGACTTATTGTAGGCATGCACTTTAGCTAGGTTCATAAACAACATCTAAAAGCTGAGTCCACTGAAACATCAAAAGACTGTGTCCTAATGCGTTAAGAAAAAAATAAATGAGTGGCAACACGACATAACTTGGACTACAAAATGCTTTAGTATCTCTCTAGTTTGAGGAATCTAATTGTGAGGGGATGGGATAGATATTTCACAGATTTTAAACCGTGGAGAGACTATTCTACTCGTTTTCATTATATTAAGCCTCTACACAATTTTTGTTCATTTATGCACCAAGCGCACAGCTTTCAATTGAACTGCACCATCCCTTTCAGAAAGGTATCTCACTCTGATATTAAAAAGAATGTAAGTGGCAGAGAATCCACCCCATGTATATTGTATTTCTAGAGTGAACAGGAGGGGTTCATCTCACCTATCCTTTTCTTCTCTGTAGGTTAGACATATATCTCAAAGCATATAAGCTTTACATCTTATATAAGCTTTACATCTAGCATATATCTTAAAGCGTGATGTCTTCATAGTAAATGGATTAAGGCAGACACTTCCATTTGGTTTGAGTCATCCTAAATATCTTCAGAAGACAACTGCATCCTTTCTCCAAGGCTACAGAGAAATTCTGAAATGACAAGTTTGCCTAAATTGATCTGAAATTCTACCCCAAATTAGGACAGACTATCTACCTTTCCAAAATATAAATTATCAGATTATTTTACATAGGAGGTCTGTTAAATTTAGCCTTTCACTTTCAGAAACATCTTCTCTAGGTTGGAGAGCTATGACAGACCATTATTCTTCCTACATTCCAAGTAATTTACACGATGACTGGATCTAGTACTCAATGTTACAGAAATACACAGGCACAGAGTAAATTCTGCAAATGTACCGAGTATGATAAAGACACATACCCATCTCTTTAAAAGGTTAAGAGATGGACCTCTCCTAACCTCTGACTTGAGCGCACTGAATTTGTGAAGCTCCTTTCTACCCTCTCACTATAATTCTTTGGATATTCTATCTGGACACCATATTGGAGCACTGCTTTCATTAACATTATATTGGTATTGCAATAACAAGCTTAAAATAAAGAAACACTCAACAGATTTATCTGAAGAAAAACAGCAACTGAAATTAAAATAGAGACTGCAAGTGATAGAAGCCCTCTTCATTTTAAGTGCAGGCCAATTTCAGTGAGTGAGTAATGATGCAGCTCTCCTTTATGGGTTTCTTTCACTAGCTGCAGTAGCATCTTGCTACCAACTACTATAAACCACAGAGCTGCCTGCTGATCTAATCAAGTATACCAATTTATTTTAATATTTGTGTAATTGTTAAAGGCTTCAGGTTCAAGTGTGTTTTTAAAGAAAACTGACATAGAGACAGATTCTGTAAAAAAGGAAGAATATGCATAAATGCATACATTCATTTACTGCTTCCTCAGTGAGCTTCAACACACGCACCATTTAACTAGAAATGCAAAACAGTAACAAGTGAACAGCAGGACATCTCCTGCCCTTTCTAAAACACAGCAATATTTACCAGCTGAAACATCGATCAGTTCTGAGGAGTCTTGACAAAATGAACACGTCCTGATTGTTTAGCATAAGGCACTAGCACTGTATTTGTAGTCTCTTATATGAAAGGTCAAAATTCATGTGATTACACAGCTTACAAAAACTGTATCTTGTAGCAGATGCAGAAATTCTATGACAAACAGCTGCAGACAACTTCCTTTAATAATATGGATTTTCTTACTGTTAATGTATGATATATTCCTTATTTAAATGACAGTATAGTAGTTGTGCAAGTTTCACTTTGTTGTTATATACATATAAGCTCGATTTTTAGTATACATATCAGTATACATATAAATTCTACTCTAAGCTTCTTTAGTGAGAAATAGAGCTCAATATGCTTGATTTCTTACTAAATATATCACACACTGTTTTGTTCATTTCAGTTAATAAGAAATCACCACAAAAATTACACCTAGATACCAAAAGAGTCTGCAAGAGGTCTATATCAGGTTATTCTGTAGAATAAAAATTCACAGAATAAAAAATTCTGTGAAAAATATGGAATTTTCCACACCAAAAAATGCTTATTACAGTGATGCACTATGGTAGCAGTAGCCCAATCTGCCAACTTTCAAAAATTACTATAAAGCTGTATTCGAACTGCCAGGTCTTGAAAAACTATTTGAGGAAATGAAAGAACTGGCCAATATACTTGTGAATAATTTATCACTAAGATTCCTGCCTGGTTGATAAGGAGAACTGATTAAAAAGATAATAGCAACAACAAAAACAATGGCAAGCTGTGGGAAGCAATTAACAAGAAACTCCAATACTGTGGCTGCCTATTTTCGTTTTTGACATAGCTAAAGCAAGAAAACAAGATATTGAAACGCTACAGTGGCCACTAAAAGCATGCTGAAATGCTGAAACAAAAAAATTTAAAGAAAAACTCCTGCTCTAATACTGTCTTACTTAGATACACCATTTTCATGTAGACACGTCTCATTTACTTTCACCAAGGAATATGGGTGATAAGCTTCCTGTGTCAGCTGGGTGGGACTAGCATAATTTATGAATTACAGCAGAGAAGGAAGAAGGTTTAAGGTTCAGGATGGTAACTATTTGCCCAGACTTTATAGACCTGTTGCACAATTCACTGCTGAGTTATACAATAATAAGCAGCAAGGCAGAAACAACTAGCTTGATAGCTGTAGTCATCAATACACAGTACCCAGGTCCTTGAAGTTTCTATACTTCAATTTGTATATAAGCAGTTTTTTGCAGCCCTTCTACTTCATTTTAACAAACCTTACAAGCCTAAGGGTTTTATTACCAGTTCATGTCTAATTGCTATAAAACACAACATTACATTACTGTATTTTCTGGAACTAGCTCAGAGTAACCCCATATACTTACAGAGAAGAAAATAAAAAAAGTACTAAAAACTTTGTCATAAACTGCTGTAGAAAAATATCCCTTAATTGTACGCATCTTTTTCCCCCACTCCTTTTTTAAAAGTACTCTTTGAGCGTATTTTGCTCACGCAGCTCTGAGCCCTGCCAGGAACTTATTTGTCGGGGTCAACGACAAAACGACGCGCCAGGCGGCTCGAGCAGCTCCGTGTACCAGGCGCTTTTGCACATGGCTGCACTCGCACAAATGCACGTCGCAGGAAAGCTAAGGCAGCTCTGGACTCTCCTGAGCCCCAGCCGCTACTGTGCAGAGCTGCGGACGCGAACTCACCACCACCACCACCACAACAAGGGTTTCTGACACGGTTAGCGTTTGGGGGGCGAGAATATCATGTCGAACCCTGAATAACAAGCCCTCACGAGGAGCGGTTTCGCCTCTGCCTCCCCTTTGGGAGGCCAGACCCCCTTACCTTGTGCCTGAACTCCCGCGCCACCCGCCGCTCCATGGCGCGCTGCCGTGCGGGAAGCGGCAGCGCCCGCACTGACCGCCCCTCGGCCGCGAGGGAGGCGCCGCTGCTGCCTTCCTCCTCCTCCTCCTCCTCCTCCGTGCCGGCTCCAAGCTCTGCCCTTGGCGACTGACCAGGAGGCTTCTGCTTGCTTGAACCCCAGACGAGGGCTCCCCCATTACCCTACATTGCGGGGGCTTTGAGATTCAGAGGCACGCGCGCAACACGCTGCTCGTCCCTGCATTACAGTGAGCGCTTCCTGTGGATACAGCCCAACATCTTCTGCTGTTTAAGTACGGATGTCTCTAGCCCTGGTACTTAAAGAGCTTGAAGATGTGGGACTTGAAGCATGCTAACACCTGGAAGGAGGGAAAAAGGAATTGTTTCGGTGAATTGTATAATCTCAGTGATTTTTACTTTTATGTAAGGAAGGGGAGTTCGATTTATGATTTTATGTTGAGTTTAAAACCTGATCTCACTTCTACCAGGCTTTCCCACTAAAGGAATAGTTTTACTTATATACACAGCTCAGCTGCTATAGCTGACTTGCCAACTGCCACCCTGTATCTGGATCGGAATCAAGCCCAGAGTGTCCAGAAAGAAGCCTGTTTCAGACTAATCTTACTTAGGTAATTTTGTCTTGGGCTGGTTCTTTTTCCCATTTTTTTAATCTAGTACAGGGTAACACAGACTTCTACAATTAAGACTAGAAGAAAGGGCAGGAGCCCAGCTAGCCTATGTCCCTAGCCCCATGGCACTCACAGCCTATGTAACTCTAGAAAGAATTAATGCAACAGGTTACATAAGCACAGGTAGCTTACTCTACCCTCCTTCTGACAGGGTGGAAATGCATATAAAGACACACACACACAAAATATATAAAAAAATACAAATCTAAACTGAAACTCATTACATTATTGGTGTGAAAACCTTTAGAAATTGCTCTTATGGCTTTCAGAAGATGGCTTTGCTGTATTGGAACATTTCAATGCTACAGGTGCTGCTGTTTTGCCCTTTCAGGTGTCAAGGATGAAAAAGAGAAATGAATTTTAAACATGTATTCAAATAAGCACAAAATCTGTTTTCAGAAATCAAAACTTTCCTGTATCAGAAATGGAACTCACACAAATGTTTTCTCTTCTTCCTAACGTAACCTGTAGTGGCACGCAGTATTGAAAGCCTATCTAAGCACTAGATACACAGCCACATAATGTCTTCCCTACATTTGCAAAACAAAATTGTCTTATATTTGATAGTGAAAAAAGGGTATGTGAAACATGTGAAATGTAAGGGACACAGATAAAATAACATAGGATTCCTTTAAACTTACATACAGATTAAAATATTAATTGATATATATCAGTCACGTCTGAAGTCTTCGCAGGAGTAAATCTTTCATCAGCTGAAAGAGTTAGGTAAGTTTGAAAGAAAGAGACAATAAATGTACCTGAAATCAAAAACTCTTCCTCCTGTAGCAAAATACTTATTTGAAAACTGCTCTATGTCACCAGGCAAAGAGTATACCAGAGAAAAAATTAAAAAAAAAAAGATGGGCTATTAATCTGCTCTGTTACGAGAATTCCTGTACTTCTCTCCACACAAGCACAGAGCAAACAAATTTACAAAGCTATCCCATGCTCCAAAACAGCAAGCTTAATAATTAGTACATTTGCAAGATAGTTCTGAAACATATGATATTAAAAGCCAATACAATTATAACTTATTAGTTTTGTGTAATAAAATCCTTCTTAGTGAGAAATCATAGTGCATCTAAATGAGCTTTATACAGGTGCCAGATACTGTTTGCTACTTGTGGCTTTAAGGGAAAATGGATAAAGTAGACAGCCCATTTACTAGGCAAAGAAATGCGTTTAAATGTGTGTTGTGTAAACTGATACCCGTTGCTTTTGATCTACTTTCTCAACTCCCATTGATGCAATCTGGATCAGAGAAAGGGTACCAAAGCCAAGTGCATGGTGCACCAGGGTAGATGGGCTCTGCCATGGGCTGACGATAGTACATGTTTCTTAAAAAAAAAAAAAAAAAAAAAAAAAAAAAAAAAAAGAAAAGAAAAGGAAAAAAAAAGAAAAAAAAAGAATGTACAGTATTATTTAGAAAAGGGATTGCTGGTTGAAGAATCCCCTTTCTGCCTCCCCTTCTTTCACACACCAACTCCTTCAGCACTGACAGGGGGGCACTGCATTCTTGGAGAAAACATCACTGGTTTTCCACCATTTCATTAGAAATGAAACACTTGTTGCAGCAAGAAACACAATCCACAGGGACAAATTACAAAGGCAGAAAAGAGATCTTTTTAATGACTTACTGTTAACAGACTTCCCAAAGCAGTCAAAAGGGGCCCTTTTCATCTGAGACAGTTTCTCACCTGGTACGGAGCAGCTTCTAAAGCTCCTGTTATAAGATCTGCAAACCTGAGGAAAGACAGGGAGAGAGGCAGCGGCAGATGGGAGAGGGAGAAAGACAGAGGGGAAAAAAAATAGAGGGGCGAGAAAAGGGGAAGAAAAAAATGATGTAAAGGTAGCAAGTATAACACACTAAATCGTTAAAAAAAAAAAAAAGGGAAAAAGGAAAAAAAGGAAAAATAAACATGCAGAGGGTCTACAGAGAGCTCCAAACACGAGATTAGGAGTGTGTGGTAAGGAAGGCAAAGGCTTGCCAGGAGCTCACAGGTGTGACTCGGCCTGTGAGTGAACCTCACAGGTGTGACTCAGGGGGCTCCGCTGTGCCCCCGGCTCCGCCATTTCGCTATTCCCTCCTCAACGCTCGTTTCCTTTCCGGGCGCGAGGCGCCCCTGAGGCGACCTCGCCGCGCGGCGTGGCCCGGCCCGCGGAAAGGCTCCGCCTGCTGCCGCCGAGCCACGAGCCTCCGGATCGCGGGAAACGGGGGAAAAAA